AAGTAGCTGCTGGTGTTGGGGTCACCCCACCATCCTGAGTGCTTGTCTTGCAGCTGCCGTGTATTGTAGGCGTATTGATACACACCACAACGGAGGGTTCTTGTTCTTAAGTACAACGTCGGATCTAAGAGCACCTGTTCTTACGGCCAACTTCTTAATGATTATTTAAGGCTCAAGTTATTGACTGTTACCAAGTTCTTGAAGGGCTGGCGCGTTCTGTATGTGTGACACAACGAATCCATCTCTATCCTCCATAGAAAAGAGTCGAAGATAGATTAGCAATGAATTCATAGCATCAGCGGAAGCTTCCCGTGTTTCTCCGATTTCCCGAGCAGCACATAACGAAGGTGTTGTGATGAGATCTTGTATTTTCGTGTGTGTGTGTGTGCTATTATGTCACCCTTGTGCCCTTGTGGAATCGTGGAACGAGCAAATCTCGGAACAATGTACAAATATGTGTGTGCGCGCAGTTATGGTTATTTTCTTGCGTTTTCTTTCGCACCCCGGTTCCATCTCTCCGACCGGTAACCATCTCACCGACCCCCGCGCGGAAACATAAAAAAAGTTAATCGTCTTAGCCTTTTCCAGGCTCCCCGGTGCGATCGATCTCTCCGGCCGGTGCCATATCCCCGACCGGTGCCATTCCTTCGCCTCATATGTATCATACGGGTAGTAGACATATGGTACATGTAGCACAAGGGGTTCGATGGCATAATGGTTCAAAGCGAACAACTGCTGCTGTCATCATGCCCGGCGAAGGGACGCAACCTTAACCTTGTCCATTCCTTCGCCCTCTGGTCTATGGTACGCATGTCATTACCACCCAAACAACGGCAGGTCTCACGAGGTCAGCGCGAAGCAGAAAGGGAGCTGAGGCGTGACCATGAACGAGCATCTGCAAGGAACTATTAAGACGAATGCGCCCGTTTCCGCGAGGGTGTCGAGATGTAAATCGCTTCTTCCGCGCCCCCCGGGCAAGCGTGGCACGGCCAAGGAGGCGCGCCACCGGTGTTCGGCGCTTTCAATTTTGTTGCAAGAGGATGCGGTTTGGAGGGGCGGGAAACGGACTTGGTTTCTTGGGTTCCTCGAGTGGCTGGCTTGTTTCTTTCGCGAGAGACATTGATTCGTCTATTGTAACATCGGCCGGAATCTTAAGGATAATACTGCAGTTTGTGAGCGAGAACATTAAATACGAGCTTGACTATAATACGCAGCTACACAACTAGCACATCTGGGTGTTTCTGGTTTCTACAGTAGAATGCATACCACCAGGTGGTACGGTTTATTGATGAACCCACCGCCACTACTACAGTACACTGCTGTAGTAATGTGCTGTAGTCGAAGATAGTGCTAACAGAGAGCTACTTACATGCTGCAGGCGTGTGACATTATTTTCGACACCGTACAGAAGAAGATGCATGCCCTCTTTCTTTTTTCACATGATGAACGTATGAACATACATCGCATACGGAGTGATACATCGATACCACGGGCAGTACCCAGAAACTCCAACGATGCCGGGACGCGGTGTATTGCTACATTTGCCACACAGCGCCACGACAATCGACACCGCAGCACGCGGGGTAAAAAACGCGATGGAATAACTTCGCATAAATGCAGTAGTAACTGGGGGGTTGGTGCATTGGGGGTTGGTGCATTTTGCACCAAAATCACACGATACACTTTTAGAGCTGGTGTACACCAGCCCCGGTACGGCAACAGCAACAGAGTACAAGACACGTTTTGGTCTTGCAGCCGTGCATGGCATGCGTCATACCTTCGAATTAGTCCTTCATCTCTTGGATCTTGCTACAGCAGGATCTACGTTACTTGGTCAATTGCACAATATAGCGTCAGCGCGCCCCTCCTGCGTCACGAGTGCCCTGTGCACGACTCAAGTACGGTACACCTGCAGAGCTGGGGGGTTTTCCAACGGCACAAAGCAGCAAAGGTCTACCCTGCGGTCTACTCCCCGAGCGGGTAGTTCTGACGTTCGGACTGCTGTGGTGCTAGCGGAGAGCGGAGATTCCGAGCAAGATATACCCTCTCTTTCTAAATTAAATACTCGTTCGTTCTGAGTCATACAACCACCCAATGGAACCCACTGATGGTATACCTACTGCTGTACGATCGGACGGACAACTGTATGTGGGCCATCGTGACAACCGCCCCTTCAAACACTTCGGGGGAACATTGTACAAGCAAACACGTTCTGGTCGGTTCGTTGTATCTTGAGGGTCCTCTCCCCTGCCCACTGCCCACCACACCCACTCACTTCACATTCAAATTCGGACCGGAGCAAGTAACCCCCATTGCCAGCGGAAATATCTAGGAAAGTGCAAAGATGTGATACTCGTGCTTTTTATCCGTTCCACGCCAGGCCGTGCAGTTTTCTGATTGGCTGACGTGTTCGAGAAAACGTATTTTCTTTTTTTCTGCGGTTTGCGGACCAGACTTCGCGTCGCTCTTCGTCCCCGCCCACCTGGCACACTCCCAACACCAAGCACAACCAACCCTTCACTGAACTTCTGCAGAGGCCAAAAAGAAATCTCAAGCTTTCTTTCTCGCCAAGTCCTAGCCTCCGCGTCAACGCAACAACACTCCACGGCACCCATCACCTCTTCCTCTAACACGCCCACCCAACTCAAGATGGCCCGCACTGGATTCGTTGCTCTGGCCTGCGCTATGCTCGGCGCCGCCAACGCGCTGGAGGTTGTGACCCCGTCTGCTGATCTGATCGTGGTTGCTGACCGGTGAGAGAGCGGGCCAAAGGACGCGACTGCTGCGACGGAGGGAGAGATTTGCGCGCCTTGTTTGGGCCAATCGCATAGATTGTCACGTAGCACGCAAGGCTCGCCGCGGCTACCCCACGGGCTAACGAGTAGCGCCTCTGGCGTGCCTGGCCGTTTTGCTTTATTTCCGGCGGCTGTGTTTTGCTTCTGACGTTCCCCGAAGTTGGGTAGAACCGAATCTCGTTTTTTTTCGTCCCGTCACACGCCCGCCGCGCAACTTGCGACTCTTTTTGTCCCTCTTGCTTGTTTGTGCAGCACCTACACCGTGGAGTGGACCGGAGCCGATTCCGGACGCTTCGAGATCGACCTGTACCACTGCGGTTCTATGTGCATGGAGGTGAGAGATGGGTCAATAAATAGTGCGGGACTGATCGACTGCTGTACGAAAAATTGCGCGCCACGTCGCGCGCCTGCGGAAAACCAACGGGTTTCTTGTCTCTCCTTTTCCCCGAGCGTGTTGAGAGGAAACAAACAAACAATCGTCGCTTATCTCTCTCACAACCCAAGCTCAACACTACAGCTTGGGTTGCCCAAGCTGACCCGACGCTAGTAGGCCATCGCGGGATCAGGGTTTGAATGTGCGTCATGCATACTTCGTAGGCTAGTGATGATGGCGGAGCAAGACAAGCAGCTGCCAGGAGATGCCATACCGTGTATGTTGTGACCATATTTATTTTTGGTTATGGTGAAAGCCGGGCAGTTTCGCGGATGGAACAATTAAGTACCATACCCTCCTTGGCCCGCAGAGACAGGGGGCGAGACTGGGAGCACCTGGGTCGTGGAGATGTCCGATACATTTAGTTCCCGGGGTGTCGTGAACTGTTTTATGCCGATGGTTCGTTGACTGAAGTGAAGCCAAAGTACCCTTCCAGAAACCACTGACGAGAACACCCGACGCTATTTTTTGCACCTGTGGCCGGTGTAATTCCGGTGTAATTCCGTACTATTTGCATCTTTGGTTTGCCTCCAACGTATTCACAACAACTTGCCATTCTCGTTCTCATTCGTTGCTTGATAAATAGGACTCCTGCGGTGACTGGGTGACCGCTCTCTGCCCCTACGGTGAGGAGGGATGCCCCGACAACGAGGGCGACTATGACATCGTCATGCCCGAACCCATGTCGGGGGAGTCGAACTCCGGCTACAAGGTGCGAGTGATGGATGTCTCGGACGAGGACAGCATGGACTGCTCCGACGCTTTCTACCTCATGGCCTCCGAAGACGCGCCGGACGCCGGCAGCGAGTCGGGATACTTTCTCACCGTCACTTCGCCCGCTGAGGGCGACTCGGCGGAGGCAGGGGAAGAGTACACCGTCGAGGTGAGATATAAAGCCAGTTCAGTTCAGATGTAGGTGTGTTGTACACCTGAAAAAATCGAATAAACCAGGACACCCTAGCTCGTGACTTGGTTTGACACAAGTTTTCGTCGGAAATAAATATGATACGCATGTTACGAAGAATTACTAGTGGGTTGTTAGCCGCCGCTACCTAGCTCACTCGACTCAACGTTCCTTTCTATTTTCCCCGGTGCTGCTTGCAGTTCGACTACGACAACGGTGTCGGGTCGAAGGTGGACAGGTTCTCGATCGACCTTTACATGGCTGACGGCGACGGTGACTGCGGCACCTACGTGACCTCTATCTGCGACAAGCCTTCAATCGGGTGCAAGGACTCCAGTAAGTGACGACCGGCTATTTCCTTCGTAGGTTGAACGTTATTCGCCCTTGACCTCTGGAGCGCACTTTCGATTGGTATCCACATTTTGAATGCATCTGAAGACGAAGTTTGGGCGGGGGGGACCACTCGCCGCCTGAGGAGGCTTCTAATTTTTTTTCTTTTTTCTCAATATGACACAACGAATCCATCTGTATCATAAAAAAGAGTCTGTGAACAGATTAGCAATTGATGTATTGAACGGGTTAATAAACAATCTAATTGTATCCGCCATCGTTCTCCCTACTTCCTCTTAACCGGTCTCTCCGATGTTGCGTGGTACCCCTGACTCTCGCAGTGGGCGACTACGACGTGGAGATCCCCGCGGACACCGAGGCTGGTGACTACAAGATCCGAGTAGGCCGCTTCGAGGACGAGGAATTGTACGGCTGCTCTGGCACCTTCACGATCATGGGCGGTGACGACGAGAGCATGTCGTACGACTTCTAAGTGTCGGACGATTGCTGAGGAGGGGCAGGGTTGAAAATATAACTTTTTTCGGTCGAATTCCTCGACTGAGCGGTGTCCATCGTTGGTAGTATGAGAGTCATGTTGCACCTCTGGTGCAAGATGGTGGGAGAGTAGCACCGTTTTTTTTATTTCACACAATCGTATTCTCCTAGAACTATTCAGTCTTTGGGCTGTCTACCATACTTTTTCCTAGATGCCTGAGAATGTCACGGCACATCCGACAACGGGGATGTACACGACTGCGTCGTTTTTGTGGGATTCCCGTCTCCTGGTTTGTGGCGGCATCGACATGCACGGCATGGTCGAGTTTTGAGCGCATGCTTCACCGTCCAGTGCCGCTCCTTGGCCAAGCAAGACTTACGTGTAGCCCGCTGTATGGTTTTCGAGGCGTGCGCTCGTTCTTTTTCCCAGCACCACCACATGAGTCGAGGTTTTGTATGGCCAGGTGTGCGGGAAATGAATCCCTTCCACGTTACGTTGTCCCCGTTGTAAATTAGATTTTCTGCATTGGCGTCTGTTGAACCTGGCTTGGAGGTTGCCGTCGACTCCCACGATTGTGTGTGTGTGATGTCACATTCTTCCCCCGGCTATGGTTCGGCACTTTTACGTCGCGTCGCGTCTTGTGGTATTCATGTAAGGCAGCGCGCGCGCTACATTTTTGGTGTATAATTTCTTGTACGTTGCCCCCTCCTTCTCCCTCCCTTCGAGAGGGCAGATCGGGCGTTGTGGCAACAAGTATATGTTTCTTGGCGATAAAGTTAGCGAGAGGCTGCAATGCTACAAGCATACAACCTGCGCTGGTCGAGTTCGCACAGTAGTAGGTGCTGTGGTGATTGTAAGTTTGTACGACGTACTAAAGATTAAACTAGACCGGGCGTCAACGTTTCCTGTCTGTAGTGAGTCGTCCCTTTCGCTGTGGTGGGGAGGGTGGTTTGCTTTAGTTGCTTCTGGAAGTCATCGGATACTGTTTTCAGTTAGGCCTGCATTGGGATTCTTTTTGCTTCGAGCGCAGCCTTGAGCTTGCCCTCAACTTCGTGTCATGAATATATGAAGATTGTTTTCATGACTGCAAATATTTGCGAGAGCATTGATCGAAATATATGAACGAATATCAACTGTACCAACTGAACGCTCATGACTATGACAGTCGTCTCGAATCCCTAAAGCACAACACTCCAGAGGGTCCCTCTCATGAAGACTCTTTCATGTCTGCACACAAGATACATCGCGCCGAAAATACTTGCCCGACACGTGGGAAGATTGTGGGCGGTTTGCGGCAAGATTTGACCAGGGCAGCATTTTTCCCGTAAGACCGGTGTTGCTTCCCCGACAGAACAAATCGCGCCTGAATACTAATGCCCGCACGAGCCACCATGTATGTGGTGCACTAATGGCCAGCTCAAGCATGTCATCTCGAAGTATGCATGTAGGACGTTGCAAACGTGCATCAACAAGAATATTTTTTGAGTAAGTAAGTGAAGTGATGACACCATTCTCTCTCTTATGCTTGTTGGCAGTAAGTACGTATGAAGGCACGGTCATCGCACACATTATTGTTCGTTCGTATCTATAGTCTAATTAGAATAATAATGAATAGCACCGTTTAGTTGATCTCAAAATACTACCCCCGGGCCTTGCCTCAGCCCTGGAAAGTTGAGCGCGTATTTCGTACCACGAGCCGTAAGAAGAAAAAAAATGGTACACGTTCAGCTCTTCTACTACTATTAATAGCCTTTCTTTCTCTTTCTTTCGCTACTCGGTTGTTGGTGGATGGAGGAGGACTGGATGGAGCGCTTTTGTTTTTTTATTTTTCTCAGCATAGCTTTCGTCCGGGATGGCATGGTGGATGCGTGGTGGTTGGTTGTGGATAATACAACTGCCCTTCTTTCATTCATCATTCATTATTAGTCGTGTGTGTGTAGTAGTGTATAGTGTGTGTGTGAGCGTTTGTTTGTGCGACTCTCGCAGCAGGACACTCGTCGTTCATTTATTTGGCGATCGATAGAAAGACAACGAACGACGACGATGACGACGACGGTCGAAAAGACCTTTCTTTCATACTACGTACTACCACCTACTACACCATGTTAAGGAGGACCCGATTCGCAGGGTATCCATCCGTCGATTGACTTTTACCAGAATCGGTACACCTTCGCGTCAGCAGGATACTGGTTCGAATCTCCTTGGGTGCACGTTTTTTCTCCTGACTTGGACATTTTCCCATGGACACAATGTGTGTCAGTCCTAAGAACACCTCTTATCTTGGAATCGATCCTATAGTCTAAAGAACCTTGTGACACTTCTTCCATCGAATTACCCGTCTTGGCCACAAGAGGTTCCACCCGTCTTGGCCACAAGAGGTTCGTTCCCAGTTGAGGGTAAATTCTGTGGGTGGAGAGTGTTAAGGAGGACCCGATTCGCAGGGTCGCAGGGTATCCGTCGATTGACTTTTTTTACCAGAATCGGTACACCTTCGCAACCACTTGTTTTGTGTTGTGTCTGTCTTTGGTTCGGTTGTATTGTGTGTTGTGTGTTGTTTAGTAAGAAAAACAAAAAATAAGCGGCTCAGAGAGACACACAAACCAAGTGCCGCCGATCTCTCTCTACGTTGAACTCGGTCACCTCGACACCTCACTCAACAACGTCGCCCCCCAAGTTACGGAAAGAAAAAAAATCATGTATGTATGTATGTATGTATATGTATGTAGTAATGAATGGTAGGTTTAGATAGTGTGTATGTATGTATGTAGTATGTATGTATGTATGTACAAGCGCTCCGGGGGGCCACGCCCCTCCTACGCGCTTTAGGTAATGTGCCCCATTGTCACGTGCCGTTATATATTGATGGAGGCGTATAATTTCGTGTTGGAGATGAGAAGGGGATGCGTCCATACCAAGTGGGGATGAACGTAAGTGGGACGTGCCATGGCTCGCGTAGTGTGAGCTGCCTCAGAGATGAGATGAAGCCAATCGTGTGTGATCGCACGCGGCATTGTGATGGTGCGCAAGGATATAAGAGACGCTACGCACTATGTTTGTAATCCACATAATAGTAGAACAGACACTAAATGTACGTATCTCACCAACCCTCGAAAGCGTAGGTAGATTACAGGCCGTACAGTTCATAAGTGGCAAGTACTCCTCCTTGGATGCTGACACCAAAGGAAACCTCGACGAAAAAAGAATAGTTCGATACGTGTAAAGCAAGAAAGACATGAAGAGAACGCCCCAATTCCCCATAAAGTATATGAAACCGCTAAACATCGAAATGGAAACAATGGGTACGTTCTAGACATCCCAGGCGCTCAAGGTAAAAGTCCGGTCAGACGGTCCTGTCATGCAGCAAGGAGATAACGCAATCGTTGTCAGCAGAAAGGAGCCAACACGCGAATCTGATCTTGAAACCAATTCCACAAATCTTCGCAATAGCTGGCGAAGTCAGCTTCATCTTGCTCGTACTGAAGAAGGAGTTGGGTTTCATTGTAATCTCGAGCCGCTTGGTCGTGCTCCTCGGAGTCGAATATCAACTCGTTTGAAGGAAGAATCCTGGCAATTATGGAGGTAAGGGAGGAGGGTTCGGAATTAAGATGGCATCATAGTGTCGGTTAACGGGATTGAAGCGCACATGGAGCTGGTTTGGTTGGGTGTGTTGAGGAAGGGGCACAGAGGATTGATCGAAATGAACTTGAATGGAGATGTTGTATAGATTATTCGCTGCAGTAATTTCGGGTTGACCCATGTAAGTGTTTGGCATTGACATTCTTGCGACATAGTCGTCGTAAGAAGTATATTGAGAAGGCGGATGGCCTGACCTGTAGAGTAGCTCAGTACCTATTCCATCGTATATATGAAGGTCTTGATTCTGTTTGTTGTTGGAGATATATTGCATTATTTGAGTTCGAACTTGGTAGTGTAGTTCAGGATTTCCTAGTACCCGCCGGGCAATGGTTCTAAAGCCGCAGTTGCCATCCCCTAACTCGGGTTGGAGATGCCAATGAGGAGGCGGGGGAGGTGGTGGAGGAGGCGGTGGAACTGACGGTGGTGGAGGACGATATGGCGGGGAGGGAGAAGGTGCAGACGTACCATTATTATTTTGGTTGTGCGTCTCGCCTGTGGCGGCGTCCGTAAATGGTTTATACACAACATTTTCAGTGTAAGGCGTTCCATCCACAACTTGCGTATGGGGTAAAAGCACCATAACAGTTGATCGTTTCTGAGCACGAGTTAAGGCAACGTATAATTGGCCGTGTGCAAAGGGAGATGAACGCAGATCTAAGCCTATCCTGGTTAGAGTTTGACCTTGGCTTTTGTTTATCGTCATGGCATAAGCAGTCCGTAGAGGAAACTGCACACGCATGAAGTTGTTTATGCCATTCCTCCCAACTTGGGCAGGGAAACTTATCCGTGGGATCAAAACAATTGGATGAGGTAGTTCGTCTGTGAGAAGTTCTGCATGAATTACACGGCTGTTGGGTGATACTGCTTTCAAAATGCACTTTTGCCCGTTTACCAACCCTTCAGAGAAGTTTAGATTTCTTACAATCATTGCGAGCCCGTTGGACTTGAGTATTAGCTCATGGGGTGGTACACCGGTGACGTTGAGTTGATTGAGATGTTCAGGGGCGGCGAAAGCCGTCGAGCTAGAATTTTCGTCTTTGATGAGGGAGTCAGAGCTGAAGAAGGACACAGAACGTCCCGGTCGCTCGTCTGAAATTATTTCGTTGGAACGATCAATGGCGTTGTTGGTTGTGGCCAAAATTGCACGGTCGCTCCACGCCGTCGCGTCTTCTGACATGTCAGGGTACACGAAGTTGACTAAGTCGTTGAAATTTGTCGTGTATTGCAGCTGGAATTGGTCTGGCGAATCCGTGCAGCTGTTGTTCAAAGGGATGAGGTTGCTACCGTCGGGCAGGGTCGTTGTCAGCAGTGCGTCCTCTCCCACATTTCTTACAAATGACGCGTAGGCAGGATCGTCTCCATCACGTTGAGATTTCGTGAGTCTAAGGCGGAAGATATTACTCCATAGATGGCTTGAAATCACCGCCGCATCAACGGTGTCAGTAGGAGACCCAAACTTGACAATCGGTCCAGTCTGTCTCCAATCACCCGAAAATAAGATCGTCTTGCCACCGAAGAGCAAGGTGTTACGCATGAGGTCCTTTAGTGTTCGGTCGAGAGCCTCAACACAGAATCGGTGAGTCATCGGAAGTTCATCCCATATGATGAGGTCGCTTTTTCGAATTAATTCTGCTCGTTGAGTTTGGGCGCTGATGTTACACACACACGAAGGAGACATCTTTTCGTCCATGGGAAGCTTGAACATTGAGTGCGCCGTCCAGCCACCGGGAAGCTGCAGAGCAGCAATCCCTGTCGACGCGACAATCAAGACAGTCTTTCCGTCACCTCTCAGCTTTGCAGCAAGGCATTTTTCTGTGTATGTTTTCCCTGTGCCGGCCGGTGCATCGATCATGTAAGGTTGCCCTTGTTCGCTGTTGACCGAGTGGATAACTGTGTCGTATACGTGACGTTGTTCAACGGTCAGATTGCGCTCGTGAGTTGCGGCGTATGTCTTACAGTCGTTCAAGTTAAATGAGTCTTTCATTCTCTCATACTCTGTTCTTGAGTGCACAGCTGCAGGAAGATTTACTTGCTCGTTGGTTTTGCCGTGCAACTGAAGCTTTAAATCGATCTCCTTAAGGGCTTCTTGGACTGATTCATCTTGTGCCATGATTAGGGTGAAGTCTTCGATCAAATTGAATTTAAACTCTGCCCACAATTTTGGGGCTGAAGCTCCATCTAAAATGAGGGTAACGAACAGTGCGCGAAGGTGGTGTCCGACTTGGAAAGAGGCTGCTTCCTCCATGCAAAGGGTGTACTCTTCGTCACCAGTCACCAATCCCCGCGCTCGGGCGGCGTCATGGAAAGTTGCGTGTTTAAAGCATGTAGAGTCAGGCCGAGGCACTAGAAGGAGATCGTCGAAACATCTTCCAGGAATCGTGTGCAATAACAGTCGGAGATAGAATAAGTCTCCAACGGCGGGACTTTGGAACATGATGCGACACACATGTTGGTTATTTTGTGATCTGGATGATATTATGTTACCATAGGAGTCTAAGAAC